GGGCCTGACCTAGGGTGAATTTTAAATAGGGAAAATTTTTAATGATTTTAAATAGTCACAGCCACTAATATTTGGATTTTAATTGGTTTTTAGAAGGGGTAATTTTGTATATTGTTTTAACATGCTGTGAGCCGCCCTGAGTCCCATGGGGAGAAGGGCGGCATATAAATTTTGTAAAATAAATAAAATAAAATAAATAAATTCCTTTTTTTTTTTTATTGAAAAGTTTTATAAAAATTACAATATAAACCCCAAAACCTACCCACCCTAATCCCCCCCTCTCCCTCCCCCACTTCCCAGAGCTGAATACAGGGTTACAAATATAATAATCATAATCTAACTAACATTAACCAACTATATAAATAACCAAGTCCATAATGCGCTTTAACTTCCCTTTAACATAAATATAATAATAATAATTAAAACATAAACAAATTAGTATCCTAATTATTAAAGAATAGAATATGCATATTGTTAAACAATACTAATACTAAAAGTAATAATAATATCATATAATTAAAACTAACAAAAATTTCACTATAATAAACTATTAATACTAATAATACTCTAAAATTTACTCATAGGCTAAATGGAACTTTTTAGTCCCATATTTATTCTGAATATAATCTATCCATCTTCTCCAAACCGAAATGTATCTTTCTTGTGAGTGATCCTTCAAATAGGCAGAAATCTCGGCCATTTCTGCTAAATTTGACACTTTAAGCGTCCATTCTTCTATAGTAGGCAAGCAATCCTCCTTCCAATATTGCCCTACTAATAACCTTGCAGCTGTTATCAAATTCAACATCAAGTTAGTTTCTTTAGCCATCACAATCTGTAATAACACCCAGCAAAAATAATTGTGGAGTGAACTTTATCTTTTTCTTAAAAATCTTTTGAATGTTCCACCAAATCTTAATCCAAAAAGCTTTTATATTTCTACAAGTCCACCAGATATGAAAATAAGTAGCATCCAAGCTACCACATCTCCAACATTTGGCCTGTAAATTAGGATACTATAGAGATGGTTACTTGGTCTCAAGGGGCTGATGGGTTTTGTTTTCTTCACCCCGCAGCGGACAAGTCCTCGGCCGCCGATGCTTTGAGGCTCGGATCTGCGCCTGCCCAGGCCGGGATCGCAAAGCGGACGAAGACAGCATTCGGAAACAACAGGTCTCCGACGGCACAAAGAACGGTGATGGTACGAAGCGCCGTAAGTAGCACAGGAGCAGCCGCCTTCACAACAGCGTTTCTCAAAGCTG